ACACTTATGTCACGCTTGAGGCTATTTATTTTCACGATATTAAACTTAGGGGGTACATATTTTGGATAAATACCCTAATGTGGGAAAGATACCATAAGTTGCTGCCAACATCAAGAAAGCGTGATTGCTAAGGTTTGTCATGTCATGTCATTTTGACATTTGCTATTGATAATTTGACAAACAATAAAATAAAATTTTCATAATTTTATGCGGATGAAGAATCACACGAAGAGCTAGTAAGTTATAAATCTATCGATATCTTTGTCGCCTCACTATTGAAGGGACCTCGTTTCGTCAGCAATCATGACCCGTCAAACGACCTTCTGTGTTACAAACGTGTCAAGACATACCAATTTTATAGTTAACCTTTTTGCCTTATTCAAAGACTACGCTATTTCTTTTATGTATACTTATATTGGTTTCAGTATTAATCCTTATGCAAATAAATACGTTTTTTGTAAGGAGAATATAATGTAGAATAAAATTGTCTTTTACAGTATTTAAATTGGACTAATAGTTTAGAAGATATCGCGAACACAAACAATAAGGGTAACCGAAAATCAGATTACAAGCTACCGGAAAGCTTAGAAATTTGTAATCTTGCGTCGGTAGATTTCTGTTATTACGTAGATTACTACTAAGTTAATATTTTAGGTGATAGGTTGAAAGAAAGGTCGAACGTAAATTTTGAACTTTAAAACTACACGGGCAAAGTCGTGGGCAACAGCATATGTATTCGATTCACGTAAAAACTACTGGACCGATTTTAAAAATTCTTTCACCGTTAGAAAGGTAATTTATCTGTGAGTAACATAGGGTATACTTATTAATTTCACGCGGACGACATCGCGTGCAATAGATTGTATATATAAGTAGCTATCGCCCGCGACTCCGGCCGCGTGCAATTAAAAAAAACAAAACTAAGTAGCCTATGTGTTCTTCCAGACTGTATTCTACATCTGTACCAAATTTCAACGAAATCCTTTCAGCAGTTTAAGCTTCAAACTCTAACAAACATCCATCTAAACTTTCGCATTTATAATATTAGTAAGACTAGCTGCTCCCGTGCGGCTTCATCCGCATGAAATTGCGAAAATTTTATTTTAATGTTTACATTTGTCAAATTATCAATAGCATATGTCAAAATGACATGACATGACCTTGGCAATCTTGCTTCCTTGATGTTGGCAGCAACTTATGGTCTCTTTCCCACATTAGGGTTTTATCCAAAATATTTACCCCTTAAGTTTAATGGCGTCAAAATATGTAGCCTAAAGCGTGACGTAAGTATAGGGCTATTTATTAATAGAAGAATTATTCAAAAATATGCTGTAATTGCTGACATCTTAGGCAACAAAGAAGTGTGTGTTTACGCTTTATTATAATAGTATAGATATATTTCAAAATACATATAAACTAAGGTCGAGGTTATACGCAAATAGTATATAAGCTTGTTTATGTAATTGATCGGATCTTGTACTTACATAACGGGTTATGTTGTCCGTTTGTAATTGAATCAAGTACTCCATGGTCACGAAGCCAAAGATATTAAATAACTAACGTGGAAATGACGTAAACACATTATCAATAGCTCACTATATTTTAACAGTGGTAGAGCCCGCTTTAACATCTTCGCACTTTAGGGCTCGCCCCAGCAATACCACGACCACACAGACAGGCGGAAAGTGGAAGCAATTCTGCGTTTCGTCTGATGAGTGTGGTGCCGGAGGCCTAATTTAGTCCCTTTTCCTTTCCACCCTTTTCTTAAGAGGAAAGGATGGGAAGGAAAAGTAGATTTGACGGTGGAGGAGACGCATAGGAAGGGAAAATGTCCTCTTTATGTGCTCCTCCGTCCTGTCTCTTTATGTGTCTATGAAGGGTAGGCAACGCATCTGCAATAGTAGATGTATATGGGCAGCGGTCACTTTCCATTTCGGTGGATGCAGGTGGCTGCTTGCTTATTTGTCACCTTATATTATAAATAAAAAAAATATGTCCCCATCGAGGGGCTCGGAGCCTACCCTAAGTTAGCGTCTAGGTCATAGTCAACCACACTGCGAGACTTCACACATATCTTTCAATTTCGTCACCGATATGTGCATCACGATGTTTTCCTTCACCGTAATGTTGGGTAAATTATGTACATATGAAAATTCGAAAAATCGAAAATCACGTTGGCCCAGGATTCGAACCTAAGACCTGTAGATTACAAGTCAAGTGCTTAAACCACTGAGCCACTCTTATTGTCTATACTAATCTATACTATTATAATAAAGCGTAAACACACGTTTCTTTGTTACCTAAGATGTCAGCAATTACAGCATATTTTTGAATAATTCTTTTCTTAATAGAAAGCCCTACACTTATATCACGCTTTAGGCTATATATTTTCACGCCATTAAACTTAAGGGGTAAATTTTTTGGATAAAAACCCTAATGTGGGTAAGGGACCATCAGTCGCTGCCAACATCAAGAAAGCAAGGTTGTCTTCATGTCATTTTGACATTTGCAATAGATAATTTGACAAATGTGAACAATAAAATAAAATTTTCACAATTTCATGCGGATGAAGTCGCACGGGGGTACAGCTTGTCTATACTATTATAATAAAGCGTAAACACATACTTCTTTGTGGCGTAAGATGTCAGCAATTACAGCATACTTATGAATAACCCTTTTTGTTTACAGTCGTAAATATTTATGAACCTAGTTATATTTTCTATAAGTTGTAATATAATGAAAGAACGGGCGCACACCTTTGACTAAAATATCGCACAAACGTCCGATTGTCGATTGTTCCGGAGCCTTCAACTGTTTAGTTGGACAACTAAAAATTGAGTAGTGCAACCTCCATAAGCTCATAGGAAACAGAGCGAGATTAAACAGTGGTGCGTTCTTAGAGCTATTATCAAATTAGCTGTTCCCATGCGACTTAATCCGCATGATATTATGAAAATTTTATTTCATTGTTTACATTTGTCAAATTATCAATAGCAAATGTCAAAATGACGTGACAAAACTTGGCAATCTTGCTTCCTTGATGTTGGCAACAACTTTTGGTCTCTTTCCCACATTAGGGCTTTTATCCAAAATATTTACACCCTATGTTTAATGGCGTGAAAATATATAGCCTAAAGACGTAAGTGTAGGGCTTTTTATTAAAATAAGAATTATTCAAAAATATGCTGTAATTGCTGACATTTTAGGCAACAAAGAAGTGTGTGTTTACGCTTTTTTGCAATAGTATTATTTTAACACTTTTCTATCCAAACATTACATTAATTGTCCCTTTTGTTGCCATTTTATAACATACGTGCAAACGAGACAAACATTCAGCTCTCGGTATCTCTACTCGCAAATAGAACATAGAACTAGATCGCTTCTAGTGAAGTGTATAATGTCGATATGATTTATCGATAAAAGTAAGAGCGTTTCAATTATGTTGACCTTGAGTCGCACTAACCTCAAGAATCTCAGAAGTTCGGAGCAGTCAAGTTATTAGTAAAATGGTACGAAAATTCATACAAATAATTCGTTTATTAGTTTATTATAGCAGATATCATAATTAAGTGATAGGTTAGAATAACCTATTATAGAAAATTATGAACAAACCGAATATCGATAGTTCATAATTGTTCGCTGCGTGATTGTTTCATCACGATACCTGTCTATTAAGCATTTACCTTCATACAAATTGAATTCGATACTTCATATGCGTCATTTATCACACTAAACTATCTTGTTTAGACAAACTATAAATATAGTAACACTACTGTAATATATTGTGATAAATGTAGGTAGGTTTGTATAACCTACCGTCAATTGATTTGAAATAAATCAACTACTAAACAATATTGTCACAGAGACATCACAATGTTCAATTAAACACGTAAAGTCCGGAAATAATTCAACGATAAGCGCATTTTATCGTACATGGCACATCACTAAGCACGTCACAATAATAAAATTGATAGAGCGGTCTCTAACCTACTGCGGACGGTCTGTAAAGTATTGCTAATGTTGCCTTTATAGCGAAGCTTTGACTAAACTCTCGCAGAACTGTTTAGTCTCGCTTTGATTCTTTGGAGCTTATATGGAGGTGACATTACTCGATGTTTATAGAGTGTCTAAATAATTTAGATTAGTTTGACAATTCACTTCAAATTCAGTAGGGATGGGTTGTGTAAAATCAGTCATGAATCTTATCGATTTTCGATTTTTATTCTTATAGAAGTTGGAATCGATAGCTTTATAGTTATAATTTATGAATTTGAAAACAAAAACACTGTTTTTCCAAATGAATAATGACCATAACAAATAATGAGAGTAAATAAATGTTTATTACTACTACAGCCGTACGTAATCGAATTGGATTTCGCTATTATTTCTGTCATCGCTAAATTCTCTACCCTATAATCAATACTAGAATTGGCCTCTAAATTAGTTAATAAGAAAATAATAATTTTAGTTGAGTTCGATAATTATTTAAACCGAATATCGATAGTTCATAATTGTTCGCTGCGTGTTTGTTTCGTCACTACGATACCTGTCTATTAAGTATGGCATTTGACTTCATATTCATTTATCAAACTAATCTATCTTATTTAGACACACTATTGTGCAACTAAACAGTTGAATTGGCTGCGAAACAATCGATATTCGCACAACAGTATGCGATTGCTTGGTCAAAAGTGTGCGCTCTTTTAAATGAATTCTAATAGTAAAAAGGCTCATCATCATCATCATCCACTTGCCCTTATCCCTTACGGAGGGTCGGCACAGTGCTGCTCCATACATCTCTATCAGTCATATCTGAATACACTCCTTTCTTAAGCTTTCTTTCACACAATCCATACTTTCTTCGGTCTTCCTCTACCTTTGTAGCCATCCACATTCATTCTTAACACTTTCTGGTTTATGTCCCCATATCGTCGCATAACACGTAAAGTAAAAAGGCTCTACCTTTAACCTAATCGACAAAAGGTATGTAACGTGAAAATATGCTAGAGAAGGGAGTAAATTCAGATTATCACAGTGGTAGTGCCCGCTTTAACATCTTAGCACGAATGGGCCGG